CAAAATCTGTGTGTTTTTTTTCCTTTTTCTTTTTAATCTGTGTGTTTGTTTTGCTCGGTTAGAACTGTAATACAATGGTATGGTTGCTGATGACACGATAAATACATAAATAAATTGGGAAGGTTGAGAAACACTGGGCTAGAGCCTCACTGAAGGGCCTACTCTGTAGCAAGGAAGGCGGCCAGAAAGGTTTTCTCAAAGGCTTGCATTGCGTCTGCAACAAATAGACCAGCGGAATTGTTTTGTGTGGTCAGGGAGCTCCTTCATCCTTATGAGGGGAGGCAGCACCATGCTGCCGACAGGCAAGAAGGAAAGGAAAGGAAGGGGATCTGAAGGAGGGTGTCCTCTTTCTCTCTCATACCGGCCACCTTTGCCTCCCTCTCTCAAGCCACCTCTCTCTCAGCTGTTGGTTTTTTCCCCTCCTTGTGCAGGAGTGGGGGGGGGGGGGGGGGGGGGGACGGGACGGGACCCCTGAACACTTACAACTCAATGTGTTGAGTTTGCACATCATTTTGCAGACAAAGTCGCTTGGATACGTTCCGACTTAGAGGCCGCTTTTAGAACAGTACCAAGGGATGTAACAGAGGCCCCTGTCCGTCAGGTTTTGATGGCTTCGTTTCAAGTTGTTCAGCCTGATGACGTGGACAAGGTCCTAGAAGAGGTGAGAGTGTCCACATGTACTCTGGATCCTTGCCCTTCCTGGCTTATCAAATGTGCCAGTGGGGATTAGCCGAGTGGTTTACGAGGATTATAAAGGACTCGTTGGAACAGGGACAAATACGATCAAGGCAAGAGCGCGACCTATTTTGAGGAAGTTGTCCCTAGATTCCTCGGTATTTATTTATCGTGTCATCAGCAACCATACCATTGTATTACAATTCTAACAGAGCAAAACAAACACACAGATTAAAAAGAAAAAGAAAACACACAGATTTTGCAAACTTGGTAGTTGGTTAAATGTCCTTTGACCAGTATCTGGCCACTTGGCGTGCCTCTGGTGTTGCCGCAACAAGGTCCTCCATCATGCAGGTGGCAGGGCTCAGGTTGCATTGCAGCAGGTGGTCTGTAGTTTGTCCTTCTCCGCACTCGCATGTCGTGGATTCCACTTTGTAGCCCCATTTCTGAAGGTTGGCTCTGCATCTCGTGGTGCCAGAGCGCAGTCTGTTCAGCGCCTTCCAAGTCACCCAGTCTTCTGTGTGCCCAGGCGGGAGTCTCTCATTTGGTATCAACCATTGGTTGAGGTTCTGGGTTTGAGCCTGCCACTTTTGGACTCTCGCTTGCTGAGGTGTTCCAGCGAGTGTCTCTGTAGATCTTAGAAAACTATGTCTGGATTTAAGTCGTTGACGGGCTGGCTGATACCCAAACAGGGGATGAGCTGGAGATGTCTCTGCCTTGGTCCTTTCACTATTGGCTGCTACTTCCCGGCGGATGTCAGGTGGTGCAATACCGGCTAAGCAGTGTAATTTCTCCAGTGGTGTGGGGCGCAGATACCCTGTGATTCCTCGGTAATGAATACATTTTCCTTTGGGGCAATTGAACGTTTTGCCTTATACGTTGGAAACCGCCCTGTGTCCCTTTGGGAAGATAGGGCGGTATACAAAGAAAGATTATTATTATTATTATTATTATTATTATTATTATTATTTGAAACACAACAAGATGAGTCCACAGCAAACAAGATCACTCTGCTGGCAGTTGTATTGGATCACACATCGGACACTTCCCAAGTGTCTAGGATTGTGTGATGTATTGTTGTTGTTGTTGTTGTTATTATTTGAAACACAACAAGATGAGTCCATAGCAGACAAGATCACTCTGCTGGCAGTTGTATTGGATCACACATCGGACACTTCCCAAGTGTCTAGGATTGTGTGATGTATTGTTGTTGTTGTTGTTGTTATTATTTGAAACACAACAAGATGAGTCCATAGCAGACAAGATCACTCTGCTGGCAGTTGTATTGGATCACACATCGGACACTTCCCAAGTGTCTAGGATTGTGTGATGTATTGTTGTTGTTGTTGTTGTTATTATTTGAAACACAACAAGATGAGTCCATAGCAGACAAGATCACTCTGCTGGCAGTTGTATTGGATCACACATCGGACACTTCCCAAGTGTCTAGGATTGTGTGATGTATTGTTGTTGTTGTTGTTGTTATTATTTGAAACACAACAAGTTGAGTCCATAGCAGACAAGATCACTCTGCTGGCAGTTGTATTGGATCACACATCAGACACTTCCCAAGTGTCTAGGATTGTGTGATGTATTATTGTTGTTGTTGTTGTTGTTATTTGATACATAACAAGGTTAGTACACAGCGAACAAGATCACTCTGCTGGCGGTTGTATTGGATCACACATCAGACACTTCCCAAGTGTCTAGGATTGTGTGATGTATTGTTGTTGTTGTTGATGTTGTTGTTGCTATTATCTGAAACACAACAAGTTGAGTCCACAGCAGACAAGATCACTCTGCTGGCAGTTGTATTGGATCACACATCAGACACTTCCCAAGTGTCTAGGATTGTGTGATGTATTGTTGTTGTTGTTGTTGTTGTTGTTATTATTTGAAACACAACAAGTTGAGTCCACAGCAGACAAGATCACTCTGCTGGCTGTTGTATTGGATCACACATCGGACACTTCCCAAGTGTCTAGGACTGTGTGATGTATTATTATTGTTGTTGTTGTCATTTTATTTCCTTTACTTCCTTCCTTCCCCTTCCTTTCCTCCCCCTCTCCTTCCTTCCTGTCCCTCCCTCCTTCCTTCTCCTTCCTTTCCTTCTTTCCCTCCTTCCCTGCTTTCCTGTCCCTCCTTTTTTCTTCCTTTCCTTCTTTTCCTCCCTCCCTCCCTTTCCTCCTTCTTTCCCTTTCTTCATTTCCTTCCCCTTCATTTCCTTCCCTCCCTCCTTTCTTCATCCCCCTCCTTCCTTTCCCTCCTTCCTTTCCTTCTTTCCCTCCTTCCTTCCCCCCTTCCTTTTTCCTTCCTTCCTGCCCATCCTTCCTTTTTCCTTTCCTTCTTTCTATGTAAGATATAAATACAATATTTTATATATTGTTATATATGTAACATATAATATGTTACATACAATATATATATAAAATATTACTATATAATACAAATTAAATGGGACAGTCAAGAAGTAATGAGAGAAGGAGGGAAAGAGGGAAGGAATGAAGGGGGAAGGAAGGAAGGAAGGAAGGAAGGAAGGAAGGAAGGAAGGAAGGAAGGAAGGAAGGAAGGAAGGAAGGAAGGAAGGGAAGGGAAGAAGAAAGTGAAAGGAAAAAGACACGGAAGGAAGGAGAGAAGGAACTAAAGACAGGGAAGGAAGGAGAGAAGGATGTAACCAAAGAACAAAGAAAGGGGGATAGAAACAGGTAGAAATGGAAGAAAGAAGAAGAGAAATGGGAAGGGAAAGAAATAGAGGAAAGGAAGGAAAGAGGGAAGGAAGGAAAGAAAGAGGGAGGGAAGGTTGGCCACAGCAACGCGTGCCGGGTACAGCTAGTAAATAATAAATAAATAAATACATAAATAATGTTGTGTTGTTGTGAGTTTTCCAGGCTGCCTGGCCATGTTCCAGAAGCATTCTCTCCTGACGTTTCATCCACACCTATGGCAGGCATCCTCAGAGGAGGTCTGTTGGAAATTAGGAAAATGGGGTGGATATATCTGTGTAAGGAGCCCCCGGTGGCGCAGTGGGTTAAAGCACTGAGCTGCTAAGCTTGTTGATCGAAAGGTCGCAGGTTCGATTCCGGGGAGCGGCGTGAGCTTCCGCTGTCAGCCCTAGCTTCTGCCAACCTAGCAGTTCGAAAACATGCAAATGTGAGTAGATCAATAGGTACGCTCTGGCGGGAAGGTAACGGCGGTCCATGCAGTCATGCCGGCCACATGACCCTGGAGGTGTCTATGGACAACGCTGGCTCTTCGGCTTAGAAATGGAGATGAGCACCACACCCCAGAGTCAGACATGACTGGACTTAATGGGACGGCCTTTACCTTTACTATATCTGTGTAATAATGTCCAGGGTGGGAGAAAGAACTCCTCTCTGCTTGAGGCAAGAGTGAATGTTTCCATTGGCCACCTTGATTAGCATTGAAAGGCCTTGCAGCTTCAAGGTCTGGCTTCTTCCTGCCTGGTGGAATACTTTGTTGGGAGGTGTTAGCTCGCCCTGATTATTTCCTGTCCAGACTTTTTTTTTTATTTACTGACCTGATTTTAGAGTTCTTTTAATACTTGTAGCCAGATTTTGTTCATTTTCATGGTTTCCTCCTTTCTGTATTGTCGAAGGCTTTCATGGCCGGAATCCATGGTTGTTGTAGGTTTTTCTGGACTATGTGGCCATGTTCTGGAGGCAATTTTTCTCCTGACGTTTCGCCTGCATCTATGGCAAGCATCCTCAGAGGTAGTGAGGTCTGTTGGAAGTAGGAAAAATGGGTTTATATATCTGTGGAATGACCAGGTGAGACAAAGGACTTTTGTCTGGTCGAAGGCTTTCATGGCTGGAATCACTCAGTTCTTGTGGGTTTTTTTGGGCTATATGGCCATGTTCTAGAGGCTTTTCTCCTGACGTCTCGCCTGCATCTATGGCAAGCATCCTCAGAGGTGAGGTCTCACCTCTGAGGATGCTTGCCATAGATGCAGGCGAAACGTCAGGAGAAATGCCTCTAGAACATGGCCATATAGCCCGAAAAAAACCCACAAGAACAAAGGACTTTTGTTTGTTGGGGCTAGCTGTGAATGTTTCAGCTGATCACCTTGATTTGCATTCAATGGCTTGGAAGCGCCTGGGGGGAATCTTTTGTTGAGAGTGATTTCATGTGCCTGTTTGTTTCCCCTCTGTTGTTTTGCTGAATTGTCCACATGCTTGTGTATGTATAGAGTTGGAAGAGACTCCTGGGCCATCTAGGTTTAAAGAGGTTTCATTTGAATCTATGAATGGGGAAAGTGGGCGGGGCCTGACCGGGGATGGGCGTGGCTTCAGAGGCCTCTTCTCCGCCCACTCCTCTGTTCTCCCTGCCTATTGTCTTCCGCGCATGCGCACAGTCCACCGTTGCCAAGAAACAGCCCAAACAGCATCCAGAGGAAACAGCATGGCAACGCATTACAGTTCTGGCCAGGTAAGGGGAGAAAAGTGTCACCTTTCCCCAGAAAGATTGTCTTTGGGAGTCAGAGCATCCTAAAGATGGAAGAGAGCCTAGAGACTCTCTATAGGAATCCCAGAATCCTAAAGAGAGCCCCAAATCTCTCCTGGCAGATGGCCATCCATCTAATGCTTAAAAACCTCCAGAGATGGAGACTCCGTCATTATCATCATCAGAGATTATTAATTATGGAATCATAGAGTTACATGGGACCCCAAAGGCCATTCAGTTCTGTAATAAAGGAAGACACAATCAAAGCTCTCCTGACAGATGGCCATCCAGCCATCCAGAGATGGAGATTCCGTCATTATCATCATCAGAGATTATTATTATAGAATTATAGAGTTACAAGGGACCCCAAAGGCCATTCAATTCAACCCTGTTCTGTTATAAAGGAAGACACAATCAAAGCTCTCTTGACAGATGGCCATTCAGCCATCCAGAGATGGAGATTCCGTCATTATCATCATCAGAGATTATTAATTATGGAATCATAGAGTTACAAGGGACCCCAAAGGCCATTCAGTTCTGTAATAAAGGAAGACACAATCAAAGCTCTCCTGACAGATGGCCATCCAGCCATCCAGAGATGGAGACTCTCCATCATTATCATCATCAGAGATTATTATTATAGAATTATAGAGTTACAAGGGACCCCAAAGGCCATTCAGTTCTGTAATAAAGGAGGACACAATCAAAGCTCTCCTGACAGATGACCATCCAGCCATCCAGAGATGGAGACTCTGTCATTATCATAATCAGAGATTATTATTATAGAATCATAGAGTTATAAGTGACCCCAAAGGCCATTCAGTTCTGTAATAAAGGAAGACACAATCAAAGCTCTCCTGACAGATGGCCATCCAGCCACCCAGAGATGGAGACTCCATCATTATCATCATCAGAGATTATTATTATAGAATTATAGAGTTACAAAGGACCCCAAAGGCCATTCAGTTCAACCCTTTTCTGTAATAAAGGAAGACACCATCAAAGCTCTCCTGACAGATGGCCATCCAGCCATCCAGAGATGGAGACTCCATCATTATCATCATCAGAGATTATTATTATAGAATCATAGAATTACAAGGGACCCCAACGGCCATTCAATTCAACCCCCTTCTGTTATAAAGGAAGACACCATCAAAGCTGTCCCGGCAGAGGGCCATTTGATTTGTTTTGCCCAGACCTAGACACAGGGTCCCTCCAGGTGGGATCTGACCAAAGCAGAAGAGAAAAGGGCTATGACTCCCCTTTATCTCAATACTGTGTTCCTATTGATGCAACCAAGGATCGTGTTTGCCTTTTTAGCTGCAGCATCAGACTGTGGATTTGTATTAGCCTTGCTGATTCCTTATGCCTTTCCCCTTCTGTCGTCATTTGCAGTATGAGGATGCCTATGCTCCCCAGAACTTGCGGAACTGGGGCCTTCCAAGAGTAACTAAACAGGTGAGATCTTGCATATACCCTTATCTTTGGACATTCTTTGCATGGACAATAGTAAAGGAAATCCTTTTGTGTTCGGAGTTGGGCAACCATTGGGCCACCATTAGGATTTCTGTTTGGCAGACTTTTTAATCATATAACAATGGGGGGAATATGACCTTAGAAAAGTCCTCTTTTCCTCCAAGCCGTTTTTCTTTCAAACTTCTCCACAAAGGACTTCCACCCAAGTCTTCCCCTTTGTGTCATATCTGATGGTGACAGGAAAACCTGGATTTCTTTAACATATGTTTATTGCCTTAGACACAATAGAATGGCTTGGCTGGCAGACCCCTCACCCAGATCTCGCTAAGCCTCAGGGACAATTTTGTCATAATCCACTCCAGAATGCATTGTCTCCCTTCATCCCGCCTCCCTCCCTTCTGATTTGCTGGAGCGTCAAGGCAGCAGGAGCCTCCTGATAGGCTCTGGTGCACCGCGAAAGACCTGTGATTGGTCCTGATGCATGGGGGATGGCCAAGCCTCCTCCCAGCTGTTTGCGCGTCAGCCAATCCCCTTTGAGCTGGGCGGGAGGGGGGAGCGGGAATTTTGAAACTCAGAACTCTCTATTTTCTATAAAAATGGCCTTTACTTCTGTAACCACATGCTCTGCTTGGCGAATCATTACTGCATTGCATCCTTTTCAGCTGAATTGCTAATAAACCTCGGTGGCACTTCCTTCCACTTGGTGAGACCTTTTATTGGGAAAAATCACTGTTTTATTGGGAAAAATCACCGTAAACAGGGGGGTTGACCTCTCCCTGTAAGAAGCCACTGTTCCGAGCCCTAGTTTCCAAGGCAGCAGAAAACAAGCTTGCTCCCTCCTCCCTATGGCTTCCTCTCACTTATCTATACATGGCTATCATGTCTCCTCTCAGCCTTCTCTTCTTCAGGCTAAACATGCCCAGCTCCGGGCCATCTTCAAGGGTAGCCCCACATAGAGTGCATTACAGTAGTCCAGTCTAGAGGTAACTAAGGTATGGACCACCATGGTCAAGTCAGACTTCACGAAGTAAGGTCGCAGTTGTGCAAAGGCCCTCCCAGCCACCGCCAACACCTGCACGTCAAGCGTCAGCGCTGAGTCCAGGAGGACCCCTGGGTTAATAATAATAATAATAATAATAATAATACTTTTTTTATACTCCGTTACGATCTCTTGGTGCGGCTTACATGAGGCCGAGCCCAAAATGCAACAATACAAGCAATAACAATAACAATACAAGCAATTTAAAAACACCACCGAAAAGACCCTCTCATCTCCACCAATCCTGCTTGTGATGCAGGTGGGAGCGTGAGCAGGGCCTCTCCAGATGATCGAAAAGATCATGTGGGTTCATATACAGAGATGCGGTCACGAAGGTAGGCGGGTCCCAAACCGTTCAGGGCTTTGTAGGTGAGAACCTGCACCTTGAATTGGGTCTGGAAAATGAATGGCAGCCAGTGGAGCTCCTTGAACAGGAGGGTTGACCGCTCCCTGTAAGGAGCCCCGGTTAACAACATGGTTGCCGCCCGTTGGACCATCTGGAATTTCCGAGCCGTTTTCAAGGGCAGCCCCACGTAGAGTGCATTACAGTAATCCAGTCTAGAGGTTGGTCTTAAAGTTGCATACCGCACCTTTATTATTTATTTGGGTTGGTCTTAAAGGTGCATACCCCAAGTTCTCCCCATCCCCAATTGTTGCTAGGATTGGATATATGAAATACTAGCTGTACCCGCCACGCGTTGCTGTGGCCAACCTTCCCTCCCTCTTTCTCTCCTTCATTCCTTCCCTTATTTCTTTCATTCTCTCCTTCCTTCTCTTCCTCTTCCCTTCCTCCCCCCTTTTTCTTTCCCTTCCTCTTTCTCTCCTTTCTTCCTTTTCTACCTATTCTTGGACTGCAACTCCCAGCAGTCCTCCTGATCAATCTATTTACCTACCTATCTATCTCCATCTAATCTATCTATCTGGAGGATTGCATAGAAGTTGCAGTTCAGGAATAGTAAATTGGAAATATGCAGGGATTAGAATGCTCTCAAAGAAATCCAAGGAGAAGCAGTGCATTTGGATCATCCTCCTCTCCTAAAAGACCTGGTCTAGGGGATGCTGGGAACTGTAGTCCGGAAGAGAGTGTGAATATGCTATTGTGTGCTTTGTTTGCCGGGGGTGGGTGGGTGGATTGTTTTTGCGCTGCAGTGTCTTTTTGCTTTTTCGACTTTTAAAGTCCCTTCTGCTGTGTTTTTCATGTTTTTATGAGTGATGGTCACTTGTTGGCCTGAGAGGTGTCTTGTGTCCAAATTTGGTGTCAATTCGTCCAGTGGTTTTTGAGTTCTGTTAATCCCGCAAACGAACATTATATTTTTATTTATATAGACTAGCTGTCCCCTACCACGCATTGCTGGGGCCCAGTCTGTGTATATGTGTCTTGTGTGTATATATATTTGTGTATATGTGAATATAGGTTATGTGCAATAGGTGCATTGTGTCCAAATTTGGTGTCAATTCGTCCAGTGGTTTTTGAGTTAATGTTAATCCCACAAACGAACATTACATTTTTATTTATATACTAGCCGTCCCCTGCCACGCGTTGCTGTGGCCCACTCTGGTGGTCATGGGGCTTCTGTGTGGGAGGTTTGGCCCAGTTTTATCATTGGTGGGGTTCAGAATGCTCTGTGATTGTAGGTGAACTACAAATCCCAGTAACTACAGCTCCCAAATGCCAAGATTCTATTTCCCCCAAACTCCACCAGTGTGTATATTTGGGCATATTGAGTATTCGTGTAGAGTTTGGTCCAGATCCATCATTGTTTGAGTCCACAGTGATCTCTGGATGTAGGTGAATTACAACTCCAGAACCAAAGGACACTGCCCACCAAACCCTTCCAGTATTTTCTGTTGGTCATGGGAGAACTGTGTGCCAAGTTTGGTTCATTCCATCGTTGGTGGGGTTCAGAATGCTCTTTGATTGTAGGTGAACTATAAATCCCAGCAACTACAACTCCCAAATGACAAAATCAATTTTTTTGAGTGAAGGACATACATTGGGTTGTTAGGTGTCTTGTGTCCAAATTTGGTGTCAATTCGCCTGCTGGTTTTTGAGTTCTGTTAATCCCACAAACGAACATTACATTTTTATTTATATAGTAATTCTTAATTACTTAACGTCAAAATTAACTGATTGATTGAATAAGGTAGAGAGGCATGTACACCTCAAAAATATTGGTACCTGATTATATCTGATTTGCCATGGTTTGCTTTTCTGTTATGTACCATAATCAAAATAAACAGTTTTAACAAAAAAAAATATACAAATTGGGTGTCAATTTGTCCAGTGGTTTTTGAGTTCTGTTAATCACACAAACGAAAACTACATTTTTATTTATATAGATTGTTATACCAATTAGTCAGTGTCCATTTTGTTTTATCCTTCCAACCCCTCACTAGAACAATTTGTGCACACGCTATTAATTTGTCAACCAATTTTTCTTTTTGTATATGCTTCACTCCTGTTATCCATGCATGTAGTACATTTCTATTGACCATTACTCTTTGTAAATTTAACTTTCTATTGATTTCCCCTTCAGTCATTTTCCAGTATTCTTGCACTTGATCACATTTCTCCTTTTTTGATGTTGCCTGAACTCTTTTCTCCCCGCAGCACCCTTCCACCCGAGAAGGTTATACGCAATTTATAGCCGATGACAGAGGACATCTGCTCCCGACAATCCCACGTTCAAAGGTGAGGCTTTTCTCATAAATGGATGGAGGAGAATCATAGAATCGTAGCATCCTGGAGTTGGAAGAGAACTCGCGGGTCATCCAGTCCAACCCCATTCTGCCAAGAAGCAGGAAAATCCCATTCAAAGCACCCCACAGATGGCCACCCAGCCTCTGCTTCAAAGCCTCCACCACACTCCGGGGTAGAGAGTTCCACTGCTGAACAGCTCTCCCAGTTAGGAAGTGCTTCCTAAGGTTCAGGTGGAATCGCCTTTCTTTCCTGTACTTTGAAGGTATTGCTTCATTGCGGTCTAGTCTGCAGGGCAGCAGAAAACAAGCTTGCTCCCTCCTCCTATGACTTCCCCTCTCCTCTTGATCCATGGCACTCATCATGTCTCCTCTCGGCCTTCTCTTCTGCAGGCTAAACATGCCCAGCTCTTTAAGCCACTCCTCATAGGGCTTGTACTCCAGACCCTTGATCCTTTCATTCGCCCTCCTCTGGACACATTCCAGCTTAGAGTCAACATCTCCCTTCAATTGCGGTGCCCAGAATTGGACACAGTGTGATTCCATGTATGGTCTGACCAAAGCAGAAGAGAGGGCTAGCATGGCTTCCCTGGATCTAGACCAGGCATGGGCAAACTTCTGCCCTCCAGATGTTTTGGACTTCAACTCCCACAATTCCTAACTGTTAGGAATTGTGGGAGTTGAAGTCCAAAACACCTGGAGGGCAGAAGTTTGCCCATGCCTGATTTAGACACTAGATGCAGGCCAAAATCCCATTGGCTTTTTCTGCTGCCGCATGGCATTGTTGGCTTATGACCCGTCATTTCCTAACATGTTATGTTCCTCCTTTAAAATATATTGATTTAACCCCTTGACAGTTGTGGTTAGACTTCCTTAACTTAAAGAATCTTCATCTATGACTATGTAAACATGTTGTTTTCAACCACAGTTCGACAGGTCAGCAATGACAGTTCTCATCAGTAACTTTTTATCATGAATTCTTCACCTCCTTTTGCAGTTTTCCAGGCTTCATTCTTCTTAGGTTGGGGTCTTCAGCCTTCACCAGACCCCAATTGTACTCCAATCAGATAGTTTCATTCAATCCACACATCACATTTTAACATACAGAGAACAAGGAGCTAGGGATGCTTAGTTTAATGAAAAGAAGGGGACGTGATGACTTGAGAAGTCTGACTTGGCCATGGTGGTTCATGCTCTTGTTACATCCCGAATAGACTACTGCAACACACTCTACATGGGGCTGCCTTTGAAGACTGCCTGGAAGCTTCAACTAGTCCAACGGTCAGCAGCCAGGTTGCTCACCAGAGTGACGTACAGGGAACATACAACTCCTTTGTTACGCCAACTCCGCTGGCTACCGATCAGCTTCCGAGCACAATTCAAAGTGCTTGTTTTAACCTTTAAAGCTCTAAACGGTTCTGGCCCAGACTACATGTCCGAACGTTTCTCCTGCCACGAGCCATCACGAAGTTTAAGATCTTCAGGAGAGGCCCTGCTCTCAATCCCACCACTATTGCAAACACGGTTGATGGGGACGAGAGTCAGGGCCTTCTCAGCAGTGGCCTCCCGCCTATGGAACACCCTCCCTAGAGATATCAGATTGGCCACCTCCCTCTTGTCTTTTAGAAGGAAAATCAAGACCTGGTTATGGGACCAAGCGTTGGATCCATGAGCAGCAAGTGGAAGAAGATCACACAACTTATGGCAATGAATTGACTCGGACCGGTTTTTGGATTTTGATTTTAATGGATTAGTCTTAATTAATTTTTTGATGTTTTAATTTTTAATATTTTGATTGTACTGTGGTTGTTTTTATGATGCTTTGGTTAGGCCGCCCTGAGTCCCCCCTTCAAGGGGAGAAGGGCGGGGTATAAATAGACGAAATAAATAAATAAATGTTCCCCAGATGATTGACTCATGACTTGACTGGGCCCGGTCCTGTTCAACATCTTTATTAATGACTAGATGAAGGGCTAGAAGGCATGATCATCAAGTTTGCAGACGACACCAAATTGGGAGGGATAGCCAATACTCCAGTGGACAGGAGCAGGATTCAAAACGATCTTGACAGATTAGAGAGATGGGCCAAAACTAACAAAATGAAGTTCAACAGTGACAAATGCAAGATACTCCACTTTGGCAGAAAAAACTAAATGCAAAGATACAGAATGGGGGACGATGCCTGGCTCGAGAGCAGTACGTGTGAAAAAGATCTTGGAGTCCTCGTGGACAACAAGTTAAACATGAGCCAACAATGTGATGTGGCGGCAAAAAAAGCCAATGGGATTTTGGCCTGCATCAAGAGGAGCATAGTGTCTAGATCTAAGGAAGTAATGCTACCCCTCTATTCTGCTTTGGTTAGACCACATCTGGAATATTGTGTCCAATTCTGGGCACCACAATTCAAGAGAGATGTTGACAAGCTGGAATGTGTCCAGAGGAGGCGACTAAAATGATCAAGGGTCTGGAGAACAAGCCCTATGAGAGGCAACTGGGCATGTTTAGCATGAAGAAGAGAAGGCTGAGAGGAGACATGATAGCCATGTATAAATATGTGAGAAGAAGTCACAGGGAGGAGGGAGCAAGCTTGTTTTCTGCTTCCTTGGAGACTAGGACGCGGAACAGCTTCAAACTACAAGAGAGGAGATTCCATCTGAACATGAGGAAGAACTTCCTGACTGTGATAGCCGTTCAGCAGTGGAACTCTCTGTCCCGGAGTGTGGTGGAGGCTCCTTCTTTGGAAGCTTTTAAACAGAGGCTGGATGGCCATCTGTCAGGGGTGATTTGAATGCAATATTCCTGCTTCTTGGCAGGGGGTTGGACTGGATGGCCCATGAGGTCTCTTCCAACTCTTTGATTCTATGATTCTATGAATCATGACCTGAATTCAAATTCCTATATTCTATCACCACATTTTAAAGTTAAGCAGAATTGATCCTGTTTAATTGCTCTATTTCTATGCCATTATTTCTATACTACTACATGTTTCTATCCACCTTATTGACCACCCTATCCTTTAACTAGTTTCACATATTGCCCCTCCTTGCTCCAAAAATGAGTCCGTTGTTGCTTTTGATGCTTGTATATTTGTATATTATTTATTTGTATATTATTGTTTATGCTGTTTTTAATGCTATTTTAATATGTTATTGTTCTGTTTTTAATTGTATGTTACCTTGGGCTTGGCCCCATGTAAGCCACCCCAAGTCCCCTCGGGGAGATGGAGGCGGGGTAAAAAAATAAAGTGCTTCTTCTTCTTTCACCTTCTCCTTCCTCCCCACAAGAACTCCAAGATCTTTTCCATACGTCTTGCTCTCGAGCCAGGCATCGTCCCCCATTCTGTATCTTTGCATTGCACTTTTTTCTGCCTAAATGGAGTGTCTTGCATTTGCCCCTGTTGAACGTTGTGTTAGTTTTGGCCCATCATCTCTCTCATCTGTTAATGTTTTGACTTCTGCTCCTGTCTTCTGGAGACTTGGCTCTCCCTCCCAATTTGTTCCCGTCTGCAAACTTGATTATCATGTCTTCAAACCCTTCATCTGCGTTTCTCAACCTGGGGGTCGGGACCCCTCAAGGGGTCTCAAAGGGGTGTCAGAGGGGTCACCAAAGGCCATCAGAAAACACAGTACTTTCTGTTGGTCATGGGAGTTCTGTGTGGGAAGTTTGGCCCAATTCTATTGTTAGTAGGGTTCAGAAGGTTCTTTGTTAGTGAACTATAAATCCCAGCAACTCCCAAATGTCAAGGCCTGTTTTTCCCAAACGCCACGAGTGTTTGCATTTGGGCATATTGAGTATTCGTGCCAAGTTTGGTTCAGATCCATAATTGTTTGAGTCCACAGTGCTCTCTGGATGTAGGTGAACTACAACTCCAAAACTCAAGGTCAATGCCCACCAAACCCTTCCAGTATTTTCTGTTGATCACAGGAGTTCTGTATGCCAACGTTATGTCCCTCCCTACAGGCTTCCCCTTGGGGTACCTACTTGGGCACCTGGGATATGCCACTGAAGATTCCTCCAGCCAAAGTGAACCTCACCTGCCGCTCAGTGGACGCAGCGGCCCGACTCACAGAGTGGGTCAACAAAGCGGAGGTCCTGCGCAGTGCCTGCAATGGTTTCAGCCCAGAAATCATCGGCAAGGTAACACCCCGGCTGCACGTCCTTTGCCAACCTTTGCCAAATGCAACAGTTATTTGCCCTAATCAGAGATTTGAGGGTCCATCCATAAATGGACCAAGTGTGGTGCCTGCCTACAGCAAAACAAAGATGGCACCAGCTTCCAAGTTCTTTTGGGAGTTTCTGTAATTGAGATGCTGTTAGTAACAAAGGCTTACTCACTGACCAAACCTCTCAGGGTAGTTGGTAGGACATACAACAAGGCTTCCAAGGAAGATATTTGCATTCCAGGCAGGTTACTATGGGAGGAAGTGATCTTTTAGATATTCTGACTCATACACAACTTAAGGCTGTGCAAGCCAAAACCAGAGGGTTTGTGTGTGTGTGTGTATGTCAGGAGCAACTTGAGAAATGACAAGTCTCTTCTGGTGTGAGAGAATTGGCCATCTGCAAAGACGTTGCCCAGGGGGACAGACACCCATATGTTTTGAAGTCTTACCATCCTTGTGAGAGGCTTCTCTCATGTCCCCGCGTGGGGAGCTGGAGCATTTTGCACTAGTTGTATTTTCTGTGCACTTTTCAAAGAGCCTTTTATCTCATGATCCTCCTGGGCTGCAAGAATCAGGCCTTCTGTCTTCTTCTTCAGGGTTCCATTCATGAGCCATCACCAGGTCTTCTCCTTGTCAACTTTTCCTTCAATCTCCTCAAGGAACTGCCCATGTAAGGCTTTGTTGTGCCAGCTGTCAGCTCTGGATTGGAGTGCAGTTTTCTTGTACTGACTCTTTGTCCGCTGTGCTTTGAGAAGTTTCCGATTATTGACTTCAATTAAAGCAAGTTCTTGGCTTTCCTTGACATATTCTGCCAGGGCGTGTTTTTCTTCTTCAACTGCTTGCTTGACTTGTAAAAGTCCTCTGCCCCCAGACTTTCTAGGCAGATAGAGCCGGTCAACATCACTGCGAGGATGTAGTGAATTATGAATGGTCATGAGTTTTCTTGTTTTTCTGTCCAAATTGTCCAGTTCTGCCTGTCTCCAGTTTATGATGCCAGCAGTATATCTTATGACATGTATGGCCCAGGTGTTTATGGCCTTGATGGTGTTGCCTCCATTGAGCTTGCTTTTGAGAATTTTTCTGACCTTCTGAATGTATTCTTTGCTGACCACAGTTTTCACATGTTYATGTTTGATGTTGTCCAGCTATAGTATGCCCAGATATTTATAGGCCTCTGGCTGGTGACACTTGATTGCTTGGCCATTGGGCATATTTATGCCCTCACTTTCAATGATTTCTCCCTTCTTCAGTGCCACTGTCAAACATTTGTCCAAACCAAACTCCATGTTGATATCTGTGCTGAAGATTCGGACAGTGTTAGTCAGAGACTGGATTTCAGTTTCGGTTTTCCCATACAGCTTCAGGTCATCCGTGTACAGCAGATGTGAAATTTTGTGAGATCTCTGAGACATTTGATAGCCGAGGTTTATTTTTTGTAAGATTGTTGACAGAGGGATCATGGCAATGATGAAAAGCAGTGGGGACAATGAGTCTCCCTGGAAAATTCCTCTTCTGATGTTGACAAGTCCATAGTTTTCATTTCCAACAAACAGTTCAGTTTTCCAGTGCTTCAGCAAATTTTCGGAGCCCCCGGTGGCGCAGTGGGTTAAAGCCCTGTGCTGGCAGGACTGAAGACCGACAGGTCGCAGGTTCGAATCCCAGGAGAGGCGGATGAGCTCCCTCTATCGGCTCCAGCTCCTCATGCGGGGACAAGAGAGAAGCCTCCCAAAGGATGACAAAACATCAGAAATCATCCGGGCGTCCCCTGGGCAACGTCCTTGCAGACGGCCAATTCTCTCACAACAGGAGTGGTTGCTCCTGACACGACCAAAAAAATCATATTTTCAATAAAAGTGCCAACGTTCCAAATCCCGATGGTGTCTAGGCACTTGATGATCCAACTGTGTGGGAGTGTGTCAAAGGCTTTTTTGTAGTCAATCCACGTCATGTGAAGACTGGTTTTTTGGCTTTTGCAGTTCTCCAGAATCATTTTGTCAATTAATAACTGGTCTTTTGTGCCCCTGATTTATTATTATTATTATTATTATTATTATTATTATTATTATTATTAGGTCTATGACTGTAATAAAAATTGATTTGAGTGTTTTAAATACACTTTTAACGTGAGAAATTTTGTATATGTGATAATACCTATTTTGTCCTATAGCCAAGCGACCCTCCTGCACATCCCACCAAAGAGACTTCTGCCAAACTTGGAGGGCCTTCGAGCAGAGGCTCCGAGGGGAAAATGCCAGCTCAAGAAGCAGTCAAATCCAGCGGGATGGCCAGCCCTAAGCACCCCCTCTCCCGCCAGCCTGGCTGTATTGATGTCCGATTGAAAAAAGAGGTTTCGTCCGATGCCCCAGCCTTTCAGGAGCCGGATTCCAAGGACCTGAGACAAAGAAGTGGCAGTCAGGTCCCGCTCTCACGCCAACCTGGCTCCATGGACGTCCGGGTCAAAGACATGGCGAGCCCCAAGACCTCAGCCACAAGCCGCCCCAACTCCAGAGAGTTTACTCCTCCAAGGAGAGCCATTTCGGCAGAGACCCCTGCCTTGAACCGGCCTCGGTCGCTGGAAGGGAAATCCAAAGGGGTCAGCACCCCTGAACTGTTGGCTTCCTGTTGCCCGGGAACCATGGAAGCCAAGCCGAAAAGTGCCGTCTCACTCGAGGCGCTGTCTCCCAGCAGGCCTTTGACAAAAGCCAGCCATGTTTCGGAGATTAGTAAGGCTGCATCCGAAAGGGAAGGGGCAACCAAATCTTGCCTTGGAGAAACATGCAGTTAAATGTCCCTCTCAAGGTCCAAACAAACGTATTCTATTAGGATGACTGGAAGTTAAATCAAGGAAGTCAAATCTATTCCATGTGTCAAGCCACTCCGATGTGTTTGCGTTTCCCCGCATTCCCAGGCCCTCTCCTGTTCCAACCCCAGCTTTACTTCTCTTTTTCACTTAATCACTCAACAAGAAGCGTATTCCATCAAGTCCAAACAACGGTGAAAATATACAAATCTCATGCATTTCTCAACTTGTCCAAACCTGAAGCAAAGGAAGAGGAAAGCCAACTCTGCTGCCCAAAAAAAGATTTGCCCAACTGGATAAGGGGCAGCAATGATATCTGAGTGATGCCGTTGAATAAAATCAGATGGAATGGTATTATCATGTCTTAAAATGCTTTCACAGTAATAAGACACTACATAAAACAAATGCCATAATCATTTCACACATTCCTATGGGGCTTTGCTTTGAATTAGGGTCAGTCCCTAATCAAAGAAATTAGTTGGAGTACAGTATATGTTTTTTTAAAGCATTAGCTACTTTAAGTCTCTTTTGGGAGAGAAATAGCAGGATATACCGCATATACTTGAGTATAAGCTGACACGGATATAAACCGAGGCACCTAATTTTAACCACAATAACTGGGAAAATGTATTGACTCAAGTATAAGCCTAGGGTGGGAAATACAGCAGCTACTGGTTAGTTTCAAAATAAAAACAGATACCAATAAAATTACATTAATTGAGGCATCAGAAGGTTAAATGTTTTTTGAATATTTATATAACAATGTAATTTAAGATAAGTCTGTCCAACTCTGATTTTAACCTTCTTCAACGTAAATGTGCTTATGTATCCTTCCAATAAGAATAAAGAGAGTAACATAAAGTAATAATAATAATAATAATAATAATAATAATAATAATAATAATAATAATAGAGTAAAATAATGGTGGGTTAAAGCACTGAGCTGCTGAGCTTGTTGATCGAAAGGTCGCAGGTTTGATTCCGGGGAGCGGTGTGGGCTTCCGCTGTCAGCCCTAGCTTCTGCCAACCTAGCAGTTCGAAAACATGGAAATGTGAGTAGATCAATAGGTACCGCTCCAGTGGGAAGGTAACGGCGGTCCATGCAGTCATGCCGGCCACATGACCTTGGAGGTGTCTACGGACAACACTGGCTCTTCGGCTTAGAAATGGAGATGAGCACCACACCCCAGAGTCAGACATGACTGGACTTCCTTTACCTTTTTAAAATAATGGAAATGTAATAATAACAGTAATAATATAGTAAAATAATAAATGTAATAATGACAATAATAAATAGTCAAATAATACATCTAATAATAACAATAATAAAGAAAAATAATAATGTAATAATAATAGAGTAAAATAATAAATGCAATAATAATAATAGAGTAAAATAATACATGTAATAAAAATAATAACAACAGAGTAAAATATTAAATAACATTGACCCAAGTATAAGCTGAGAGGAACTTTTTCAGCCTATAAAAACGGCTGAAAACCTAGGCTTATACTCGAGTATATACAGTAAATACTTCTTTATATTATTATTTGTGAAACTTTTGCCCAAAATGCTAATTTGAATCTCAAAACTAAAACGTAATTTGGTTTTGCGATTCAAATTAAGGCTGCAACAATTATACTGTGTGTGTGTGTGTGCGTGCGTGTGTGTGTGTGTGTATATATATACATATATACATATATATATAAAGAATAAGGATTACTTCAGAGTAAAGCAGGATCAGGCAGCACAGCAAACAGTAAGTCTGAAGAAAATTCATGACGCTTTTTTGAGATGCAACAACAACAATAATACAGTAATACAATAAAACAATCATCGCTTTTGGATCTAGTTTATCTGTTCCTGAACCTGGTGCTCTCCAAGTGTTTTAGCAGGATGGTCAATAGCAGGGATCCTGGGAATTATGGCCTAAACCAGGGGTCCTCAAACTTTTTAAACAGAGGTCACAGTCCCTCAAACTGTTGGACGGCCGGATTATAATTTGAAAAAAACATGAATGAATCCTATGCACCCTGCACATATCTTATTTGTAGTGCAAAAACACTTAAAACAATATAATAATTAAAATGAAGAAAAATTTTAACAAATATAAACTTATTAGTATTTCAATGGGAAATGTGGGCCTGATTTTGGCTGATGAGATAGGATTGTTGTTGTTGTGTGCTTACAAGTCGTTTCAGATTTAGGTTGACCCTGAGTAATGGCCGGATAAATGACCTTGGAGGACGATATTCAGCCCCCGGGCCTTAGTTTGAGGACTCCTGGCCTAAACAGTTTAGGGGACGTGGAGTTGGGGAAGTCTGGGTGGTAGTTTCTCAACCCCAAGCATTCTTGGATGAAACAGATTATCTTGATCCACCGCAGTCTGATTTTAAGCCTGGTCACGGAACGGAGACGGCTTTGGTCACCTTGACTGATGACCTCCGCAGAGAGCTCAACGGGGAGTGTGTTCTTGTTGGTTCTGGACATCTTAAAGGCTTTTGATACCATCAACCATGGTATCCTTCTGGGTCAGCTCTCTGGAATGGGTCTTGGAGGAATTGCACTGCAGTGTGGCTTCACACCTTCCTGGAGAATCATACCCACTTGGCTAAGCTGGGGGATTTGCTCGGACCCCTGCCTTTGACCTGTGGGGTCTCACAAGGTTCCATTCTATCCCCATGCTTTTTAATATATACATGAAACCGCTGAAAGAGGTCATCCGGAGTTTTGGAGTTCGGTGCCACCCGTACGCAGATGAAACACAACTCTATTACTCTTTCCACCGAAATCCAAGGAAGCTCCCCGGATCCTGGACCAGTGTGTGGCCACTGTGATGGACTGGATAAGGGCTAACAAGCTGAAGCTTACTCCTGACAAGACAGAGGTCCTCCTGGTCAGTCGTGACGCAGATTGGGATATAGGGTGGCAACCTGTGCTCAATGGGATTACACTCTTGCTGAGGACACAGGTCTGCAGTCTGAGGGTCCTCTTGAACTAGTGCTGATGCTTTAAGCTCGGGTGTCGGTGGTGTCTGGAAGGGCTTTTGCACAGTTAAGGCTTGTGCGCCAACTGTGACCATACCTTGAGAAGCTGGACATGGTCCATGCCTTAGTTAACTCCAGATTGGATTACTGTGATGTTCTCTATGTGGGGTTGCCTTTGAAGAATGCTTGGAAATTGCAGTTGGTTCAAAGGTCAGCAGCCAGGCTACTAACTGGAGCCAGCTATAGGGAACACATGACGCCCCTACTAAAGCAGCTCCATTAGCTGCCAATAAGTTTCCGGGCCCAATTCAAAGTGCTAGTTATCACCTATAAAGCTCTAAACAGCTCGGGTCCTGGCTATCTTTGTGACTGCATCCCCCCAATGAACCAACACAGGCTCTAAGAGCTGGTAGGGAGGACCTCCTCTCGGTCCCAACACCATCACAAGTGCGGTTGGTGGGGATGAGGGAGAGGGCTTTCTTGGTGGTGGCCCCACAACTTTGGAACTCATTCCCCAGGGATATTAGACAGGCCTCCACACTGTCCTCCTTTCATAGGGACTTGAAGATGTGGCTCTTCTATCAAGGAAAATATATAGCCCCTAGTCGTCCTCGTAGTACTCTGAATTGATGTTATATGTGCATGTGTTTTATTTTATTGTATTTTATATTGTGTTCAGTTTCATGTTTGTTTTTAGGCACCTTCTGCCATCTGTAAGCCACCTTGACTCCCTCCAGAGATATGGTGGCGGGATACAAGAATAAAGTTATATAAGCTATTATAAGCTAAACATGTATTTATGTAGCCAACATTGTGACCCATCTCAGGGTACTATCAGCAGATTTTTCTTGACAGGAGTCTTAAGATCTGCAGGCTGACCGGACTCTGTACCCGATTGTTTCCATCAGTGCCTCGAGGCCATTACTGGATGGTTGCGTGCCAGCAGGTTGAGGGTGAATCCAGCAAGAGATCCTATGGCTGGGTCGACCGGGCAGTGGGGACATTCAGCTGCCTACCCTGGATGGCGAGGCGCTACGCCCGTCCTCATTGGTAGAGTCTGGGAGTCCTTTTGGACCCTCTGCTGACGATGGAGGCCCAGGTCTCCGCCGTGAGCAGAACCGCCTTCTTTCATCTGCGGCAGGCTAGACGGCTGGCCCCCTCCCTGTCCAGGGACGACCTAGCTACGGTAATCCAGGCCACGGTCATCTCAAGACTGGACTACTGTAACGCCCTCTACATTGGCCTTCCTCTGTCGGTGATCCGGAAGCTCAAGTTGGTACAAAATGCAGCCACTCGGCTTTTTGCAGGAATTCTGATGAGATGCCACATAACCCCAATCTTACTACAGCTGCATTGGTTACCAATTGAGCACCGGATCACTTTCAAAGTGATGGTACTCACCTTTAAGGCCTTGCATGGTCTGGGGCCGATGTACCTGAGGGACCGCCTCACCCCCTACCAACCCCAGAGATCCCTCCGTTCTGAGGACCAAGATCTATTGGAAGTCCCCAGTATCAAGACCTTGCGTCTAACAGCAACCAGACGCAGAGCCTTCACAGCAGTGGCACCATCACTCTGGAATACTCTGCCACCTGAAGTCCGTGCCTTGCGAGACTTACCAGCTTTCCGCAGGGCATGTAAGACATACCTGTTTAGACAGGCTTTTAATGTTTGATATTGTTGTTTTTAAATTGTTTTAAATTGCTTTTAAATTTTGTTAAATTTTAGCTATTCTTGTAAGCCGCTCCGAGCCCCAGGGGAGTGGCAGCATATAAGCTTAAATAATAAATAAATAAATAAAATATGCAAACTGTTTATTTTAAAAAATCAAAGAACTAACTAGCAACTGAGAATGGTCAGTCTTCTTGAATTTCAGGCAACAAGCAAGCTTTCCCCAGCTCTGTTCTTAAGAGTTGAACTGAAAAGTGTCTGGGCTCCTTTCAATACAAAGAATGTCAGATAGTGTGTTTTCCATCTAAATCAATATTCTAATCTTCACCATTTTTTAAAACAAATCACTCCTAACTCTAGCTAGAGGTGTCAAAAATAGAACTCAGGACTTTATGCTCAGAAAGGAGACTCTTCTAAGTAGTATCTGGATGGTGCAGTCAGCCTTAATTTTTAAAAGCCAGAGCAAATTCGCATCAATGCCCAACAAAGCGACTTGTCGCATTTGGTTTTCTAGTGCATATTCTCCCTTCTGAGCTGTTGAACTTGTTGACCGAAATGTCCCACTGTTAGGCCCAGTTTGAAAACATGCAAATGTGAGTAGATCAATAGGTACCGCTTCGGCAGGAAGGTAACTACACTCCATGCAGTCATGCTGGCCACATGAACTTGGAGGTGTCTACAGATAACACCAGCTTTTCAGCTTTTGTGGTTCAGTCTGAGCCTGAGCTTTCTGAGCCTGAGTTTCCTCAGGACGAGGAGGATGATGGGTTACAGGTTTCTGAACATGTTCCGGTTATGAAGCAGACAAATAAAGCAGACAGTGTTGATTCTGAAGAAGAGACAGCATTTCTGTTCCCCAGAGTAAAAAAATGTGGTTTTAGATAAAAGATAATGAAACTTGAGCTCCCAGGTTCCTCCTGGGAGCTCAGGGCCTCTTAGTTCCCAGGGTGACCAGGCCCAACAGGGCAAAGATAATGAGCTATCCGACCTTGAAGATATGGGAGACTTGATTAGACAGGGCTGTTTACAATTAAGAATTCGCAGAAGCAAACGCCTTGCCAACAAACGTGAAGCTAGAGGTCAACGTAATGCTTTCATGTTGGGAAAACATATTTAATGATCTGATTGAAGGGCAGTCCAATGTAGCTTATACCCTGTTAACTTCTGTGGAAATACCTTGGCTTTTGCGGAAAGCTTTTGGCTCTTTGGGACTTTGATTTTGATCCTGATTTTTGGAGACCTTGTCAAGACATCCTGCCATGGACTCTTGTTTAACCAATGCTTAAGGACTATGCTTTATGTTATTTGCCTCTGGATTATGGGAACTTTGCCTTTGCATTTAAGACTGTTTTGATTACTGAACTTTTGCATCCTTATTTCTGTTTTGATTTTGTTTTTTCTCAATAAACTACAAAACCTACAGCCTTGGTGTGTGGTGGTGTCTTGAGCAAGGTGAATCTATCCTGAGTTGCGACATCAGTTTAGAAATGGAGATGAGCAACACCCCCCAGAGTTGGACACATCTAGACTTAATGTCAGGGGAAACCTTTACCTTTTTATTCTCTCTTCCTAACCAGAAATAAAGAAGATTGAACTAAGTTACTGCCAAACAACTTTTAGGAGCCCAGCAAAAGGCTGAGGCTTATTCATTTATTAACCGAAAGGGCAAGAACACTATAAAACCGAAGCAACAACTTCAGCGTATCTTGATAATTACAGGACAGCTTACATTTACAGAGGAGGTGATGCTCATTCATTTGGTTGGAAATGTCTGACAAAAGGAAAAGGAGCAGCAGATGTTGAAAGGTTTGAAATCTAACATCCTGATGTAAGATTATGTCATGCTCAAGGAACATAGGAATGACATAACCTTGGGTTAGGATATTAGGAGATGGTCTCTATGGCTGGAAGAAACCTGCACAAGACACTAGAGCAGGCTTCAGGCCCTTAAACCTCCCTCAGGCCAATATTCTGGAGATAAAGAGACAAGGAATAGGACGGCAGCTGGAGGTGGCCAAAGCCTGAATGTGCTGGTCTTGCTGCAGTTCAGCCATCAATGGGGATTGTTGTCCTTTGAAGAAGTGTACCCACACGCTCGCTCACCCACTGCACGATTGGAGTCCCCCTTCTCTTTCAGTTGGGTACAAAGACTGATATTGTTTGGAAGTGGAGGGAGAAAGAAAAGACGGCACACAGCCGAGAAAAGCAAAGGCTTGTGGTACGTTGTGGGTATGTGAACTTCTTCACCAACTAGTATTCTGCTTATATCGGCCTTCTAGAAGTCTTTGGATTTACATGGCGATCCCGCAACTATCACACGCATATGCAAGGATGTCTATAATAATCTGGGCTGATCTGAGAGACAGCAAAAAATGGCCTTATGGATCTGTGATCTATTCATCCGGGTCAAGAACTGAAAGCCACACTCCTAATGCTTTGATTAAGAAACGGTTCAGGAGGTGGAGGAGAGCTGCCCTTGACTCCGTTTACATGGCTGCAATTCCAACGGAGGACAAAACCGTCAAGATGAGGACAACGACCCCAGACTGGTAGACCTGCGGTATCTTCAATCCTTTGCCCATGTCCCAGGCCTGTATAGTAACAAGAGAGAGGGATTTGGTAGAACAAGATTCTCCCTTGGCTGCAAAAACACACACAAACACAAAGCAAAATGAAACAAAATACAACGCGGGTCCCCCAAAACGGCTTACATACCAGATGCCGGATTCCATTCCAAGTGTGGAAGGTCAAGGGGAAAGCCAGGGCAAACTTTGCAGAATAGATAAGAGCAGGACCCAGACTGAGGGACCGGATGAGGTCCAGGTAGTCAGCGAAATGCCCTGGAAGCACCAAAGCGCTTAAGCCGAAGAGTGACACTCCTGGACAAAGACATTAAGGGAAAAATCTGACTTAAAAACTGCAAAACAAAGGAAATCAGTCAAATTAGTCCAAACTCCTTCACTCTGCAACAACTACCATATATTCTGGGGTACTAGACCTTTTAGGCATGTAAAACCTTATAAAATTTTGGGGGTCGGCTAGTATGCCGGGTATAAAATTAAAATAATAATAAAATTACTTAATATGGCTGCCTTGGCCTCGGGCTCCCCTCCTCCTCCTCCTACGCCTTGACTCATGGCGGCCTCCTGGGCAGGCTCCCTGTCCTTCCTGGCTGCCTTCCTTGCAGAGGCCCAGGTCTCTCCTTTGTTGGCGGCCGGGTCCCTGGGCTGCTTCCCGCGCTGCTCAGGCCACTCTCCTTCTTCCTGTCCATGCCTCGCGAGAAGTGCCTCTTCTCCCGCGAGACCTGGACAGGAAGGAGAGCGGCCTGATCAGAAGGAGCTCCAGCGCTCCTCAGGCCACCCTCTTTCTGTCCAGGCCTCTTCTCTTAAACGGTGAGTATATCCCCAACTCTCAATTTGGTTGCTAAAATTGGGGTGTTGTCTTATAGCCCCAGTCGTTTTATACCCCGGAATATACGGTATACAATGGTATAGTGCAATATAGTAATATATAATACTGATATTGTACTATGCTAATAACAGAATATATTGTATGAAAATACATCTTGTAAGCCGCTCTGACTCCCATTCGGGGTGAGAAGGGCAGCATATAAATGTCATAAAATAAATAAATAAACTCAGAAGTTACATGCTGTAGTCCAAATAGTAGTATTTCCAAACTCAACTGGAGGCACACATAGCCCTATTTAAAAAACACTACACCTTTTAATAAACCAATAATATTATAATATTATTTTTGAAAATAATAAAAATAATTCATGCCAAAAATAGCCATTTTTTTTTCAAAAGGGGCTGCTCTGTTAGAAATATTAAAAATTAACTGGATATTTTTTATTACAAAAGTGTGATTCAAGCACAGAATGCGTGAGTAAGCCAAAGCCAGTTAGAGTCAGTGGGCCAAAGCTAGCATCGTCTTGTGGAGAGTGGGTAGGCCAAAGCCGGTTTAGAGTCAGTGAGCCAAAGTTAGTGTCATCCTACTGAGTAGGCCAAAGCTAGTTAAGAGTCGGTGGGCCAAAGTTAGTGTTGTCCTGTGGAGAGTGAGTAGGACGAAGCCATTTAGAGTCAGTGAGCCAAAGCTAGTGTTGTCCTGAGGAGAGTGAGTGGGCCAAAGTTAGCGTCGTCCTGTGGAGTGTAAGTAGGACGAAGCCAGTTAGAGTCAGTGAGCCAAAGCTAGTGTTGTCCTGAGGAGAGTGAGTGGGCCAAAGTTAGTGTCGTCCTGTGGAGAGTGAGTAGGACGAAGCCAGTTAGAGTCAGTGAGCCAAAGTTAGGGTCGTCCTGAGGAGAGTGAGTGGGCCGAAGCCTGTTAGAGTCAGTGAGCCAAAGCTAGTGCCATCCTGGGGAGCGTGAGTAGGACGAAGCTAGTTAGAGTCTGTGTGCCAAAACTAGTGTAGTCCTATGGGGAGTGAGTGGGCTGAAGTTAGTGTCGTCCTGAGGAGAGTGAGTGGGCCAAGGTCTGTTAGAGTCGGTGAGCCAAAGCTAGTGTCGTCCTGGGGAGCGTGAGTACGACGAAGCTAGTTAGAGTGGGACAAAGTTAGTGTTGTCCTGTGGAGAGTGAGTGGTCCGAAGTCTGTTAAGAGTCAGTGGGCCAAAGCTAGTGTCGTCCTGAGGACAGAGAATAGACCGAAGCCTGTCAGAGTCAGTGGGCCAAAGTTAGTGTCATGGTAAGGAGATTGAGCAGGCCGAAGCCAGTTAGAGTCAGTGGGCCAAAGCTAGTGTCGTCCTGAGGATAGAGAATAGGACAAAGCCTGTTAGTCAGTGGGCCAAATCTAGTGTCATCCTGTGGAGTGTGAGGTAAACCTCTGTGTGAGAGAAGCTTCATGTGTGAAGGCTGCTGTGTGTAAAGCTGTTGTGTATTTGTATTATGGAAACCTTGTTGTTGTAAATGGTGCAACCATATTATTTTCCTACAAAGAGAAGCCTCCTATGGAAGAGATAACATTGGTCTGTGTGTTTTTGTTCTTTTATCACTTGGGGCTACTGGTGCTGGGTCACTCTTCTGCTGAGAAGTTACTCTGCTGTACATTTATGAGGAGGGTCTTTTGTTAATAAGCCCACTCGCCCAAAAATGCTCTTCATCCTGCAAGCCTTGGGATATCAATCGCTGATGCAAGTAAACAGTTGCACTTGTGCCACTGGGGACTAGAGAGGCCTTTGGACTGATACAACAATCCTCTTCTGATATTCTGATGATAACATAATTGGTAGACAGAACAGAGAAAAGATTAAAGTACCTAAGCTCATTGCAACCCCTGTGCCACGATGAGAAATGGACATCATCATGGGCAGAGACCACCTGAAAGAGAAAAGAAAGAAGTGTACAGTGCTCTTAAATGAAGATATAGGAAAACACACAGAGAGGAGACGCTCCATCATGAAAGATGGGAACAGCAAATGGGCCGAGGAAGAGCAAAACATTATAGAGCAAACCATTCTGTGTGCAGAATTATGCAAAGAATCCAGCTAGAGGAGAAAAAAGGATGGTGGAATCTGTGGAGGTGGCTGAACAATGACATTACTCCAATGGTAGGAATCCTGGGAGGGCAGTGGGGGGAAAAAGAGCAAAGGAACACACCAATGTAAAGTCCAAGGCTGTTGCTGCCCCATTTAGTTGGAACAGAACAGGGGTCTTCAAACGAAGGCCCGGGGGCCGGATGCGGCCCTCCAAGGTCATTTACCTGGCCCTCGCGCAGGGTCAACCTAAGTCTGGATTAACTTGAAAGCACACAACAACAACAACAACAACAATCCTATCTCATCAACCAAAAGCAGGCCCACACTTCCCATTGAAATACTAATAAATTTATATTTGTTAAAAATGTTCTTCATTTTTATTATTGTATTGTTTTTAAGTGTTTTTGCACTACAAATAAGATATGTGCAGTGTGCATAGGAATTCATTCATTTTTTTTTCAAATTATAATCTGGCCCTCCAACAGTTTGACGGACTGTGACCTGACCCTCTGTTTAAAAAGTTTGAGGACCCCTAAAACAGAGCTACCAAGAAAACACAAAGGGAGTACTCCAAAGGCAATGTTCCATTATGTCGCCCAAGAGCCAATGCAGTGTCACAATCAAAAGTGAAAACATGTATATGTGTATATGGCTGGGGTGTCCACTTACACAGACAATCTCCTGCCTCCACAAACAGCTATGGCTCCCACTATGCAGGAGACACCTACAACCCTCCCTCCAATGACATCGCAAGTCACACTAGGGAAAAAATACATTTAAAATCCAGTTTCTGCCTTCTGCAGAATTCTGGGGTTTGTAGTTTAGGGAGGAGCCTTTAACAGCCTCACTAAACTACAAATCCCAGAATCCTGCAGGAGGTAGAATAATAATAATAATAATAATAATAATAATAATAATAATAATACTTTATTTATACTCCGCCACCATCTCCCCAAGATAGTGGCGGAGCGGCTTACATGAGGCCAAGCCCAACAACACATCAATAAAACAAGAAAGCAATAAACAAAAATGATACAATACAATTCAAGATACAATACAATACAATACAAGAACTGTAACTGAACATTATTTTCCAAGGATGTCAAACAGGGAATTAATCCAGTCCAGGCAACATTTTCCTTGCCTCTTAAATAAGAGTGCTCTTACTGGTAGATGGTAATATGAGGGGAGAGAGGACGCTTTGACTGGGTGTTCTTGTCCCAAAACTGGGCCATTTCTTCTTTGGCTGTCGTTGCCTTGGAAACCGCACTGGAACAAAAACAGCGTGGGATGTCATTTATGCCATTTATTAAGTGTACTCTTGTCTGAAAAGGGGTCTCGGCTATACATAGCACTTTAATCTACAACACAATTGACAACAACATGACATATTAAAGCTGAGAGGAATGACAAGTTAACAAGTGAAAGAAATACCCAAGTTTTAGAATGCATAGGCAAAGACAAAGGTTTTAACTGGGTGCTGAAACCACTGGGTCGTGCAGCTTAATGCCGAGTTCATTGAATGGGATTATTTTACCATTTTTATAGAGTTGTGGTGCCTTAGAAGGAAAAGCTGCAGGTTTTCAAAGGCAGCAATCAAGGCATTAGCACCCACCCTGTCATTTTTAATAGTATGTGAATTATGGAAATAAAGGACATGAAAACTGACAAAAGATGGTTGCAAGAGAAGGAGAGGGAGAATTAACTACTTCCTGTGAAAAACTTACTGTTGTGTAGAGAGTCCTGGCCCAAGACGGACACAGAGGCAGCGCCGACCTGTTAATCTGAAAGGAAAGACAAAATCTCTGTGTTGAATTTGCAACTGGAGGCTCAATTGTCCTGGCAGCCTTTCTTAGCTTCAACCTCAAGTGATTTTGAAATAACAATGGCCATTTTTAAACTAGAGCATTCACGGGGAAGATTCAGCCTTGTTAGCCTGCATTTTAACTGTGTGTATTTATTTATTTATTTATTTATTTATTTATTTATTTACTTGTATACCGCAGTTTCTCAGCCCAACAGGCGACTCAACGCGGTTTACAACAAGGATAAAAATCAATCAACGATATACAATTTAAAACCTTAAGAGCATAGTATACAATATTGACACAACAATAACAACACAATGCATCTCATAACTAGAGTCGTGATCCAATTCGTCGTCCATATTTCCATTCCTGTAATCATCACATTCATTGCACTGATTAACCAAATGCCAAGTTTTTAATCTTCTTTGGAACACCATTAGCGAGGGGGCTGATCTTACCTCCATGGGAAGGGCGTTCCACAGCCGAGGGGCCACCACAGAAAAGGCCCTGTCTCTCGTCCCCGCCAGCCGCACCTGTGAAGCAGGCGGGATAGAGAGCAGGGCCTCCTCAGAAGATCTTAGGGTCCTGGCGGGCTGTGTGTATCTTGTATATTATCCGCTGAATAATGGAGAAAGGCAGGGAGTTTCAGAAAAACATCTATTTCTGTTTTATTGACTGTTCTAAAGCCTTTGACTAAGTGGATCATAATAAATGGTGGCAAGTTCTTGGTATTATTTATCGTGTCACCAGCAACCATTGTATTACAATTCTAACAGAGCAAAACAAACACACAGATTAAAAAGAAAAAGAAAAAAAAAACACAGAGATTTTGCAAATTTGGTAGTTGGTTAAATGTCCTTTGACCAGTATCTGTCCACCTGGAGTGCCTCTGGTGTTGCCGCAAGAAGGTCCTCCATCGTGCATGTGGCAGGGCTCAGGTTGCATTGCAGCAGGTGGTCAGTGGTTTGCTCTTCTCCGCACTCGCATGCCGAGGATTCCACTTTGTAGCCCCATTTCTTAAGATTGGCTCTGCATCTCGTGGTGCCAGAGCGCAGTCTGTTCAGCGCCTTCCAAGTCGCCCAGTCTTCTGAGTGCCCAGGGGGGAGTCTCTCATCTGGTATCACCCATGAATTGAGGTGCTGGGTTTGAGCCTGCCACTTTTGGACTCTTGCTTGCTGGGGTGTTCCAGCGAATGTCTCTGTAGATCTAAGAAAACTATGTCTTGATTTAAGTCGTTGACGTGCTGGCTGATGTCCAAACAGGGGATGAGCTGGAGATGTCTCTGCCTTGGTCCTTTCACCATTGGCTGCTACTTCCCGGCGGATGTCAGGTGGTGCAATACCGACTAAACAGTGTAATTTCTCCAGTGGTGTGGGGCGCAGACACCCTGTGATAATGCGGCATGTCTCATTAAGAGCCACATCTACTGTTTTAGTGTGGTGAGATGTGTTCCACACTGGGCACTTGGTGGTATGGTATAACAAAAGACGCAAGGCTGGAAGCTTATTAATATTATGCCCAGGCAGGATGGATCTTCCCAGAGGTTTTCCTTTCCTAAAAAAAAAAAAAATCCCGCCCCTGTGCCTCCAATATGATAGCGAGACAATGATGGATATGTGTAATGATGAAGTGAACACTGCTCGACTTTAAACTTTCTTTTGAATTAAAGTTGCCGCCAACCTAAGGTGTTTTAGGATTTTTTAAAAAAAATTGAGGTGAACTTTTCTCACTCCTGACAAAACTGCTTTTATCCCTGATTACTGATAGCGAAGAATTGGAAAGGTAAAATAAATATATCAATTGAAGAATGGTATAAAGAACTATGGAAAATAGCAATAAATAATAAATTGACATGTAGTCAGGAAAGGGGTATGGAAAGAAAATGACTTTGTTGAAGTTTGGGGAAAATTTATTGAGAATGGCTTAAAAGAAGTAGATGGGAATTTACCTCCACAAGAAGAAATGGTATTTTGGAAAGAGAATGTAAATTGAAGTGACTCAGAAGGGGAGGGGGGATAAAGGTGAAAAAAAAAGTATACGAGATATATATACACTTATAGTTGATGTAATGAATTGAGGACGGAATATAAGAGTATTGAAGGTATTGATGAAGTAATGAAGTTTAACAGTTACAAATCCAAGATACTCCACAGGAAAAACGAAATGCAAAGATATAGAATGGGGGATGAGACGTACTCGAGAGCAGTACGTGTGAAAAAGATCTTGGAGTCCTCGTGGACAACAAGTTAAACATGAACCAACAATGTGATGTGGCGGCAAAAAAAGCCAATGGGATTTTGGCCTGCATTAATAGGAGCATAGTGTCTAGATCTAGGGAAGTAATGCTACCCCTCTATTCTGCTCTGGTTAGACCACACCTGGAATATTGTGTCCAATTCTGGGCACCACAATTCAAGAGAGATATTGACAAGCTGGAATGTGTCCAGAGGAGGGCGACTAAAATGATCAAGGGTCTGGAGAACAAGCCCTATGAGGAGCGGCTTAAGGAGCTGGGCATGTTTAGCCTGAAGAAGAGAAGGCTGAGAGGAGATATGATAGCCATGTATAAATATGTGAGAGAAAGCCACAGGGAGGAGGGGGCAAGCTTGTTTTCTGCTTCCTTGGAGACTAGGACACAGAACAATGGCTTCAAACTACAAGAAAGGAGATTCCATCTGAACATGAGGAAGAACTTTCTGACTGTGAGAGCTGTTCAGCAGTGGAACTCTCTGCCCCGGAGTATGGTGGAGGCTCCTTCTTTGGAAGCTTTTAAACAGGGGCTGGATGGCCATCTGTCAGGGGTGATTTGAATGCAATATTCCTGCTTCTTGGCAGGGGGTTGGACTGGATGGCGTATGAGCTCTCTTCCAACTCTTTGATTCTATGATTCTATGATTCTATGATGTATTCTAAGAAAACCAATAAAAATATATATATTAAAAAAACAGATATAGATAAACCACGTTGTACTATTAAAGCACTATGAAAGCAATAATCATACTAAAAGAAATAATGGATTTAAAAAGTAATAGAAAAAAGCGTATTGAAAAGGAATAGCATTCCCTTTTAAAGACGAATCTTCAGCAGAATCTATTATTGAGCAGCCATGCAGAAGATTGCATAATAATAATAATAATAATAATAATAATAATAAACTTTATTTCTACCCCGCCACCATAACCCCGATGGGGACTCAGAGCGGCTTACATGGGGCCAAGCCCGGACAACATAAAACAGCAATAAAATCAAAGCATATACAACAGACAACAACAACATTATCAAAATGACATTAAAATAATAATAAAATAATAAAATAAATAAAATTTCCAATGGACACAATCACGATAAAGATGACAATGGGCGGGCCACATATTCCGAATAAAAAACTATTAACAGACTATGATGAGATAAAATAGGAGCAGGACGTTTAAATGGAACTCATAAAACACACAGAGTTGTGGGGCAGAACATCCTATTTGGAGGGCACGAACTCCATTAGCCGAAAACGTTGAGGGGGTGTAAAATATAATGCTGTGCACCTACTCGCCAAAGGCGCAGCGGAAAAGTCAGGTTTTGAGGTTCTTTTTAAATGTTTCCAGTGAAGGGGCTTTCCTAATCTCCCCAGGTAAAGAGTTCCAAAGTCGGGGGGCCACAGACGAGAAGGCTCTCTCCCTTGTGCCCACAAGACGGGCTTGTGAGATTGGTAGTAGACGTGCCTTAATCCCTGCCTCTAATAGTTACTTATTTTCTGCTTCCAAAAGAAATGCAAAGCTAACAAGGGACAAGATAATGGTTCTAGTCCTAACTAAAATAGATTCCTTGAACCCATTACATTTATCAATGTGTTCACGTGTGTAACAAAGGTGCCTTCCCATGTAGGAGAAAGGTGAACATGGCAGGAAAGGGGTCAAAAGAAGAGGCACTTTTCTGCCTGATTGTGAAGCTAATCTGTTGACTTCATGTTCAAAGATTCTCCATAAGATCATAGAATCATAGAGTTGGAAGAGACCTTGTGGGACATTAGTACAACCCCCCGCCAAGAAGCATGAAAATCGAATTCAAAGCACCCCTGACAGATGGCCATCCAGCCTCTGCTTCAAAGCCTCCAAAGAAGGAGCCTCCATCACAGTTGGGGCAGGGAGTTCCACTGCTGAACCGCTCTCAGTCAGGAAATTCTGGTGGAATCTCCTTTCCTGTAGTTTGAAGCCATTGTTCCACTCCCTTGTCTCTATAGAATTGGAAGCAGAGATCGTTGCTTAGAACAGAGCTTTCCAAATGTGTGTCTCGACACATTTGTGTGCCATGCGACTGTAATGAGAAATTTGACAAAAAACTTGGAAATGTATGTTATTATCTTACCAATCCTATATTTCTAAAAATACAAAAGGAAGTTGTTCATGAGGTATGTTGTGTCCTCATACATGTTGTGAGTGCTCTTTGTGTTTGAATCTCTAATAAGGGGTTGGTTTAACCTTGCAAGTAAAACTGATTGACTGTGTTGCCAAATCTATATAAATAAAAATGTAATGTTCGTTTGATTAACATAACTCAAAAGCCACTGGATGAATTGACACAAGATTTGGACACAAGACACCTCTCAGGCCAACGACTGACCATCACTCATAAAAACACTGAAAAACACAGCAGAAGGGACTTTAAAAAGCAAAAGAAAAAACCCATTACAACGCACACGCAAAACCACATATATACACAAACACACACATATATCTATACACACACAAAACACATACACAGAAAGGAGGGAGGGAGGGAGGGGGAGAAGGAAGTAAAGAAGGGTAGAGAAGGAAGGAAGGGGAGAAGGAGAGAAGGAGAGAAAGAAGGAAAGAAAGAAAGGTAGAGTGGAAGGAGGGAGAGAAAGAGGGAGAGAAGAAGGAGGGAAGGAAGGAAAAAAGGATAGAGAAGGAAGGAAAGAGAGAAGGGGGGAAAAGGGAAGGAGAGAAGGAAAGAAAGAAGGG